AACAACAAGCGCCGTTGAGATTACGGCCCTAGAGTGTCTGGGATCTGGTCTCTACAACAACCTGGGCTTTTCAGGAAAAAAAAAAAAAAAAGAAGTAACGGTCGTGACCTTCTGCAAACCACAGCCTATTCTATAGTCTATGGCACCTCCGAGTCGGACGCAAAATAGCCACTATGTCATTGACAGGCTATTCAAAGTCAAGGGGTTACCCTGCCTGCCACCTCGCCTTCCTCCTCGCAATTGGACGACCGAATCTGGACGTGGTGTCAGAACAGATTACCCGTCCTTCCACGTCCCGTAATGTCCCTCATCCCAAGACCTGCCATGTGTTCTGGTCTAGGTGCATTCGTCCAATCTAATCACGCTTCTCCGGAGACGTGCTGGCAACAACTGCCGAGGGAAGATTGACTTGGTAGAGATGGGATATGTCCGCTAGGTGGACACTATAGTTATTCCAATCTAAGAACTTTGCTCAGACAAAGCCGGGTAAAAGAACCGATATCTCAGAGTTTTCTGCACATAATATTCTCAGTTGAAATATGTTTCATGTTTCAAATGGGACGCCGGGCCTGGTTCCCAGCACCTGCGGCTCCCCACGGGTAGATTGGAGCATTGTCCCGACCAAAAAAAAAAAAAAAAAAAAAAAAAAACCCTGAAAAAGCCCTACTCCCTCGACGTATAGGGACTCAGCCAAAGCCCATCCATCCAGGGGGTACAGCGTTTTACCACGTACTAGATGTATGTGGACTGTGGCTGAGGCCAGATACATCAAGGGGGTAGGGCGTTTTCAGAAAGCCGCACCCAAAATTTCATCAAATTTTGGCCTCAGTTTGGATTTTCAATTTTGTTCAGAAAAATAAAACATCCATTTTGACGAAATCGCTGTTACTATTCCTACAAAGTGTGCAAAGGTGATTGGATTGAACGCCTGAATCTAGACATGTTCATGAAAAGGTGCAGAAAACCGAGTTTAGGACTGCTTTCTGAATTTAGACATGTTCATGAAAAGGTGCAGAAAACCGAGATTCGGACTGCTTTTCTGCATCTCTGCTTAAAATTTTGAATTCTCTACAGAGGCCTGATTACACCAAATGATTTTCCTCTGAATTTTTGAGCTCCTGTCCGAACTCACTAACCTTGACCCGGACACCTTCCCCTACCGGAACTGTGGACTGTCGGCGATGCTTGTTCTCAGAGCCAATCATTGCTTCCTGAGATTTCTTGATGTGTTCGACAGACCGAGTATGCTGCAACAGTTTCTCATATGGTTCCAGGAGTTGCAGCAGTTCTGTTTTCAGGGAGGAGGAAGTCTAAAGCAGATCTAGGCTTCCATGCCAAGTGCAGCTGATTGGGAGTGACGCCGGTGGTGCTGTGTACAGCGTTGTTGTACAGACTGGCGATGCGAGGTAACTTCTCATCCCAGTCATCTTGGCTGGGCTTTATGTAATTCCTCAGCAAATGCTGCACCACTCTGTTCATCTGTTCAGCCTGTGCTTTGGCTTCGGGATGACTCCCACAAGTCATCTGGAGTTGGCTGCCCATCTGTTCTCCAGCCTTCTTCCACATCTCACTGCAGGAGTGGACATCTCTATCACTAATGATAGTCTTTGACAGTCCAAAATCATGCACCCAGTTATCCATGAATACCTTTACGACGTGCTCAGTCCTGGCGGTCCCCGGCATGGCAATTAGTCTAGCGTACTTAGGGCGTTGTTCGACACTCCTCGGAGCGTCCTCGAGCTCCGAGGACGAATCCTCGGAGTTTTTATTTTATTTTTGGAGGCGTCGTTCCACCTGTCCTCGGAGAGTAGCCCCGAGGATGCGTCCTCGGGGCCGTCCCGCGGCCAGTTTCATGAGATTATAGACGGCCGCGAGGGTGTTGTCCGACCTCCGATTCGGGATGTCCGTGTGCGAGGCGCGTTGGTCCACCAGCCGGACGGCGGCAAGACTTCACGGGCCGTGGAAAATGAAATTGCGAACGCGGGAACGGCCCCGTTCGAAATTCGAAATTCGAATTTTCTCCGCGCAGGACGACGGGGTGGCGGCGCACAGGCGGAAGAGCACGTCGACTGAGGGACGAGCGAGCAGGCTTGACGTCGCGTTTCGTACTTCAGCGGCACCGCGCCGCCACCGTGTGTAGTGTATTCGTCGCAGGCAATATGAATCGGCGTGTCAGCTCCTGCGCTCGCCACGTCTATGCGAGCGGCGCTTCCGTGGTTCAGGGACGGAGGACGAACGCTCCCATCGCGGTGTAAGTTTTGTCATCACGCCTGTCTTCCACACCTCGTTGTAGGCGTCTTCGATCGTCGCCGTGGACGTTGATTCGCGAAGGTGGGTGGCGGTGGACGATGCTCTTCCTTGTGGACGTGCGTGAATGGAGGGATGCAATGGGGGTGGCCGTGCTGTGCTGTCGCGGACGGAGAGGACAGCTGTCGCGGCGGTTGCTGTTGCCGTAGTCCATCGATATGAAGCGGAGAGGGCGGCGGGCCGCATGAAGGCAGTGCTTTCCAGGCGGCGACACAGGCTTCTGCTGCAGAGGGTGTTGGACGCCCCAGACTGCATCACGACTTCGGCGGCCATGGTTCAGCTGTGCGCTGCAATCGGCTCCGGTGTGCTTCCCAGGGCGACGCCACGTTGGTGGATGAGGCGGAGAACTGGCGAGACTTGGGACGATTTGCGGGTGTGCGATGACGCGACGGATGAATACTTCCGGGAAAAGCTCCGCATGTCGAGGAGAGTGTTCATGGAGGTCACCGAAGCCTGTGCGCCTCATTTGCAACGACAGGTCACGTTTTACAGGGAACCGCTTCAGCCGGATCAGATCGTCGCGTACGCGCTGTATAGGTGGGCAACAGGAGAGTCGTACGACAACAACACATCATCGTTCGGCATTGGTAGAGCATCCGGAGTTTGAGTCGTGCGCGATGTGACAGCCGCGTTGTTGAGGGTCTACGGGGACAAGATATCGTGGCCGACGAGGGTGCGTAAACACGTGGTGCTACGGGCGTTTCAGGACAAGGGCTTTCCCAACTGCCATGGCGCAGTTGACTGCACACACATCTACGTGGACAAACCGGCGAATGCTCCGAGCGAGAACTACTTCGACCGCAAGCACCGTTTCTCCGTCATTGCGCAGGTGGTAGTGGACCTGGATCTGCGTGTGCTTGACGTCTTCGTTGGCTACCCGAGCAGCTGCCACGACATTCGGGTGATCCAGCTGTCAAGTCTGTCGAAGCGCGCGGAAGACGGAACGCTTTTTCGTGGGCCGCCTGTAACGCTGCCGGGAGGGGTGAGGACGAACGGATACATCTTGGGCGACAACGGGTATCCTCCTTCAGAATGGATAGTGGTGYCGTACGGAGGAATCAATCAGCACCCGGACGAGGAAAGGTTCGACAACAAACAGAAGGTCGCTAGAGGTGCTGTGGAGAGGGCGTTCGGGAGGTTGAAGGGGATGTGGAGGCTCTTTCTGCGGTCGCACAAGACGAACTTGGACACTCTACCGCAGCAGTTCACGGCCCTCTGCATTCTCCACAACATCCTGCTCGATGCTGGAATCGAGTTCGACGAGAACTTGTTGTGTGAGGTCGACGAGAACAGGGTGAGGCGGCGAGTGGACCTGGGGATTCATCGTCCACTGCAGCCAGTGACGATGCTGACATCGACGGACGTCGCACACGCGCTCTGCAATGCCCTAGCACAGCGAGTGAAACACATCTGATCGTGCGTATCGCGCCACTCTGCCTCGCATACACAAACAAAAGCCGTGTGCGTCCGTCGTCGAGTCGCAGCGCTTGGGTGATTCACGAATGAGCGCAGTTAGCTCGCAGGGTTTGCAGTGGCGGATGGCTCATTTGTAGGTATTTGTTGTTGTAGTCGACGGTAGTGTGCTTCTCCAGGTCGTGGGTGATCGGCAGTGAAGCGTCTCAATTGTCGTAGGTGATCGACAGTGACGTCACTATTTTGTTTTTTCCGTTGTTCATTGATGTCGTCCTTGCCGCGGCGGTGTTCCCGCGCAAATCCTTGGGCATGGGGATGGGAAATGTGAGGGGGGGGGGGGGGGGGGGGGGGTTTCGGTGCTTGTTGGGTGCCGGCGCGGAGCAGGTCGACACCACTCTGTTTCGCATGTGCATTGGATCGCTGTTTTGCTTCAAATTATAAGATATTTGTATTTTGTGATTTATTTNCGGCGCGGAGCAGGTCGACACCACTCTGTTTCGCATGTGCATTGGATCGCTGTTTTGCTTCAAATTATAAGATATTTGTATTTTGTGATTTATTTGCGTGAGGTTGCCGTCGTGCGTCGGGGTGCTGTCCRTCTTTTGATGACACGTGTTTTCTGTCCACCATATGCAGCGTCTGTGATGCATGTTATCTGCAGTACTCGGCGTTCGGTTGATGCTGTTGGTGAAGCTTCGATGTTGAACTGATGACGACCACGTGTATGGAATGAAATGTAATCAACAAACACTTTTCTCGTGATGGGTTCATATTCTGGCAAATGGTTGAGAACCCTCTTGTAATTTTTTCGATGGGTTCGTGCATTGTTTGTTTTCGTTTTTTTTTTTTTTTCTTCCCCTTTATCTGTGGTGTTCAACATGAACAGAAGTTGTGGACGACATGGCGATGAGCAATAACAAGAGCATGAGAATAGAATATGTGGACGCGATTNCCCTTTATCTGTGGTGTTCAACATGAACAGAAGTTGTGGACGACATGGCGATGAGCAATAACAAGAGCATGAGAATAGAATATGTGGACGCGATTCAGACAATCATTAACGATTATCGTGCATGATAAACCCGCGTACAACAGAAGAAAAGCATCAGTGGCTGAGCAATAAGAAGGATACAGTCACACGACGTTCACACAAAAATAGAAATGATTGCATAAAATCCGTTGAAGTACAGAAAAAGTTGTGGCGACGACCAACTTTTATCCTACCTATCCACACTCACTCCCCACTATCCACCCTCCAACCGCGAACCACGAAGGACGAACTTATCTTGCCGTTTGCGCAGTGCTGCCACGTGTCACCCCCATGATTAACAAACCCTTTTGTGGAGCACGACCAGAAAGTGTGCTCCAATTCCTAAAAGACCACATGAAAAACAACAACAACAACAACAACAACACATGAGCCGCTCACAACACGTGCAATACAGAGCCATCTGCCAACGTGGCCACGTCGCTGGACCGCGCAGTCTTCGCCACCCTTATCGTTCGACGCGGTGAGAGATGTTTCCTCACCTCCGCCTTCACAGAGTGCTGCGCAGGACCTGCCACCTCACCTATTCGCCATACCCCCCCACCCCCAGCACCTCGCAACACCCGTCCCGCCTCTGCGCTACCGTGTCCACTTGAAGGCGCACACTTCCTCCCCTCGTCACCACCGTCGACGAAGCGCCGACGATGCGCACCAACCCGCTGCCATCTGCTCGAGATGACGTGTCACTTGCCATCATCTCCATCGTCATCCGCTGCGGGCCCGCTGCCGATCCACCCGTGTTTTGCAGCCTCCGCCGCGTTCTTCAGGGCAGCGTTGTGCCCGAACGCCAACCCGCAATCACACCATTCCGGAATGCATTGCGGGTAATCTCCCAGCGTGAGGTGGGCCTTCCCTAGACGATCGAGGACGAGGTTAACGGAGTCCACCACGTGTCGGCGCCAGTTGAAGATGTATGACCCCGCCGCTATCATCATCGGTTTCGCGACCATGGACGCGTACAACCATGCCTAGTAATGCGATCGGTCGTCGTCACCTCCCATGCGCATGATCCACATGACCGCGCACAACAACGCTTGCAGACTGTCCGCCAACCTAGACAACCTCTCCTGTTTTACGTGCCCGCCATCCGCCCACTGTCCGCACCAGAGCGCATCAATCCAGCACTCCGCCAGCAGAACAACTGTCGCCTCCTACTGCGCCGCCATGTCGTCGTCTTCCGGGCGGTCCTCAATCTTCACCCCCGTGCACCACAGAGGCACGTCCATCTTCATCGCCAACGTGTGGTAGACGAGTGCAGGGGATACCACTCTCGACCATTCCAAGGCCTGCCAAACTGCTCGTGCGAGGTCTGTGGCGAAGTCGACGGTGATGTAGGACTCTGCACGAGAGAAGCCAGTCGACCTCGACTGCAATTTAAAGATCCAACCGTGAAAGGTGCGCAGCACTACTCTCTCCACGCTGCGCGCTCTGCGGAGAGCCGGATCACGCTGCACCGGGTCGTCGATCTTGAAGTGCGGCACGTCATTCGGCGGGATGATGAGCATCGAAGGCGTCTCAGCTCCTACGTCTCCGTTGGCGATGGCGACGAAGTAGTCGGTGCATTCGCCTACCGCCTCCCTCAGAGGTTTCCCAGGACCCTGACCCCAGAAAGCGTCGCAATCAACCCACAACTTAGCCTTCTCTTCCAGCTCGTCCTCCTTCGGCGCTCCCTTCCCCCTCGGCACAAGTGGACGGTCGTCGCCGTCATTGCCCTCCCGCTTTCCGTCTCTTCGGCCATCGTCACGGCCAACGTCGTCGACCCCCCCCCTTTCTGCACCTTCGACGACTCCACCTTTAGCTGTGTGATCTGCCGCCGCCATCCGACTGGCGCTAGCCGTCGCGCCGCCCTTTTGCGCGGTCGCCGTGTGCCCTCCCCCTGATGCCAAAACGTGTTGTAGGGGGAGTGGCTGACGTGGCTGACCTTGGCCAGCCGCCGCCGAAAGTTGTCCCGCGACCCGCGCGCCCGTGACGACAACCCCTGTTGTGTTTGGGGTCCTTGGCACCGTCCCGGCAGCACCGCCAACAACGTTGCGTTTCACTGCTTGCAGCTGCTCCCTCAACACTCCATCCCGCCCGAAACCCAACCTCGCGACCCCTGCCGTCCCTTGCGCGTCCACCATAGCCACTTCGTCTGCGACGAAGTCATCAGTTTGTGAGGAGCTGGCGTCATCGATGCGCTGTCTTTTCGACTTCGGTATGTGGCCTCTGCCTTTGTTGGTTTCCCCGCCGTCGCCCGCCCCACCATCTTTCCTGCCCCTCGCCGAGGCGCCCCGTGGGGGCATCTGGTCCGCAAATCGGAATCAACGACGACGTAAACGAAGGCTGCCTTCGATGAAAGAGCGCGCGGAAGAAGGACGTTTGACTGCTTCCCAGTGCTTCCATGTGGACGGAGGACGACGTGGATGATGTAGATGACGGGGCAGTGGTCGTGGAGCTGCGACGACGATGGCGACCGAAATGGAGATCGCGGACGACGAAACACGTTGGCAGAGGAGCACGTCCACGAAGGATGACGTCGACGAAGGAGCACGTGGACGGAGGCGGCGTTCAAGTCCTTGAAGCGCGGCACGTGGGCGAAGAGGACAGTTGTCACGACGAGGACGCGGGACCACTTGTTTGATGCGCATGAAGGGGCATTGCCCGCGCAGCACGATGCGGGAGCGTGGATCGGCGAAGCGGAGTTGCAGGCGCGTGACGACGAGCAGGTAGGCAGACGGTGCGAGAGGGAGCCGTGGCCAAGAAACCACTGTGGTACGGAATGGCGGGCGGAATGTCCTATTTCTACGTACTGCGATGTGAAAGTACACCGTGGACATGAGTCCCCGTCCACTACAGCCCGCCCCTTCGTCACTCGCCCATGGTCCGTTTTCCTCCACAGGCGTATGTCATCCCTCGCATGGCCAACATCGAAAGTGGGCGCGCAGAAGGACCCTGGCGGAGGTCGAAAAAGCCTGCCAAACCAACGACCCCCTCCCGCCCGAAAATCACACCCTTCTCCGAAACCCCCGGAGTTCGCCATTCATGCGTGTCGCGCAACGTCTCACTACAACAGTCGTAATATTCTATAATCAGACGACGTAGTGTAACAACGAAGGGCGCGCCGTGGGGCATGACAACAATCATACCCATTCCACAATGAAATCATCAAATAAATGCATACTTAAAAAAAAAAAAAATCCATGCACCCAAAAAAAAAAAACCAGCCGTCTGTACACAACCTGCATATCTCGTAAGTGCAGCACGCAGGACAATAACGGCACGCGTGGCGGGGAGACGTCACGATCGCTCGCGGAACGCTTTAGCAATCTCCATAAGTGCTTGGCACATCATCAAGTTCGCCTGGTCGGCCTTAACGTAGTGTTCCTTCTGCACTTCAACCTCTCGCTCCAGAWTGTCGCACTGCCTAGTYAGAATTGAGCACTGTCTCTTGCTCGCGCTGTCCACGGTTKTCGCCATCAGACTCCCGTGCTCCTTCATCACGTCTGCAATCGTGTCRAAGGTCTGYTGTCTCACATTCTTCCGTTTGCTGCCCCCGCCAACACCACCTCCGCTGATAGAATCCCTCGTCGACCCCTGATCGTCGTCCTGTCCATCCCCGCCCCCCTCACTACCGCCGGATTCATTCCGACCTCCGCGTGGGCCGGGCATTTGAACACCTTTAGTCGCACCGGTGTCGGCGAGATTGGTGGGGTGTATGGTGTGATCTCTCCTGGTCATCGCCGCCATCTCCGAATACACACGCTCATCCATCCGGAAATCGAACCCCCGCTCCTTCCTCTCGCCTGGTGTTAGTGTGAAGAAATTTGGCTTCCCCGATTCTCCCATGAACTTGTGCACGGTTTTGAATTGCTGGTACAGGTTGTCTCATTTCTTCCCTCAATCGACGGCCTTTCTACTCGTGACCCCCATGTGCACCAGCCTCTTCTCCACATCGTCCCACTTCCATGTCTTCGTCTTCATCCTTCCCGTGGTGTGCGCGAGGCCGGCAAGATGCGAATCCTGGTCTCTTTTTGCCCGGATGAGAGCAATCATGTGCTCCACGGTCCAAAAATCCCGGCTTTTCGATCCCTCGCCAGCCGACGCATCTTCCACACCCTTCTTCCCCCTCCGCCCCGCGCGTTTCCGACAACTTTTTCGCGGCCCTCGACCCTCCCCGCTTTCTCCCTACTGGACGAATCTCCATCTCCTCGTCGTCCTCCTCGTCGTCGTTACCGGCCCCGTCGTCTGCCTCGCAATCCTCCGCAACTGCACCATCTTCATCGCCTAATATATCGTCCGCCCCCACGGTAATCTTCGCCACCCCTCTCGTTATGCCAGTCGTGCTCGCTTCACGCGATTGTCGCCGATGATCATCCCAAAACTTTCGACTAACGACCTCCGTTGCTGACCACTCTTCGTTTGGGCGTCGTCCGTCCACTGTGCCACCTGCCGTCGTCGTTCTACACGGAACTGATCCGCCAGTCCGCGTTGTCGGTGGAGCCGGTGTGTGGGTGGTGCCCGAAGCTGGGTTCACGATAACGGTGCGCGTCACCTCCTCGGCACTCCCGGACCTCAATCCGAAGCTGAGATCCACCAGTCCTGGGTCATAACCAGCCGGGGTACGCCCCTCCAGCAGATCATTGTACGTCGGCGTCGATGCCTGCCTGTGCAGCTGGCTCCCCATCCAATCCCGAGTCGAACCGCTGCCCAGAGGAAGGGTAGAACATCGTGGGTCGTCGCCGTCATCGTCACTTGGAGGCAACGGTATCTCGTGGGACTGCAGGTGGCTGTACAGTGCGGGGTCGTACGGCCGCCTGACTGCTTCCGCACTTCTGCAGCGCTGACGTGACGACCCCGCAGCCCCATCGGACAGCGTGGTCCTCGTCTGTACCCTCTCCATCTTCATGGCCGTCTTCGACGTTCGCCACGTTTGTTTCTTCCCTGGAACGCGCAAGAGGCAGCAAGTATGGAAGACGACAACGGCAAGCAGCAGCACAATGGCGAGCAGCAGCAAAGGCAGCCTGCGGTACAGGTCTGCCATGAACGACAGGGCAGCAGAAACAAAAGACGCACTCGCGTTGTGGCAAGCGCGGCGAACGGAGACAAACGGTGCGAGAGGGAAGACGCCAACGAATGAAATTGATGCAATCTCACAGCTGGCTGCAGGAGGGCGCTTACAAAATACGTATTTTTCGACCGTTGTGGAGCACGCGGGAACGGCACGACCACTGCAGGAGCCGGCCGAAGACGTCCGATGCTCGCCACTGCACCTCCGCCGGGACACCCGACGAACCGACAGGGCCGTCCCACGACGATCACCGCCAACGGTAAAACGACGAGGCCGTTACTCGACGTTTTGGACGACCACGCCTCGGGATGTCCGTCTTCCGCCTTCCGGACCACCTCTGGACCACTTTTGACCTCCGTTGCCCCTTCGTGACGCGCCGCCGACACCCTGATAATCGCGGATCCTCGGGCTCCAAAGGACCTCGCGAGGTCCCTTGAACCCGAGGACGATTTGGCTGGGAAATCCTCGGAGCCCGAGGATTTGTCCTCGGAGTGTTTTCACATTTCTGTTCCGAAAATCGGCTCCGAGGACAGGTGGAGCGATGACGAAATCCTCGAAATCGCATCCCCGAGGAGTGTTGAACGACGCCCTTAGTGAACCTAGTATCAACTATGACGAAGATATGCCTCGTGACCAGCAAGAGTGGCAAGGGGCATATCTTCGTCATATTAGTTTGATAGGCCAACCCCAAAAGAAGAAAGCTTCCCGCCAAAATCTTTTCAATCCATTGGGGGTATCGCCCACCCCAAAAGAGTGTGGGGTTCCCGCCAAAATCTTTTCAATCCATTGGGGGTATCGCCCACCCCAGAAGAGTGTGGGGTCGGCCATAGGCCCACTGGATAGAAGATTTACAGTATTTTGCTTGCTGTTGTGCAATTATCTCATTGGGTGAGGCCCGCCTTCAATCACGGAGTATATGGAGGGCATCACGATCACTGCTGACCGAAGTTGAGTTTATTCCAGAAAGTGTGGCAATAACTTTGTTCACTGTTGTTGCAACCACAGCCATCAGATCATTTCTGCCATCAGATCCTTTGTGATCTGATGGCTGGGAGACACTCTGTCGGGATTTCCGGCGGGAGGTCTCTGTTTTTTTTGTTTTGTTTTGCCTTCTCCTGTTTTCTCAGCCCAGAAATTCGTAATGAACCTGCCAGGCAGCTGCTACTCAGTGTCACACTGGGTCGGCCACACTCCTATCCGACTGCTGATGGGACCATGCTCCTGAAAATGTAGAATGTATACAAGCGAGGCATAGCACACCGAACATGTTCGGCGCCCCACCGAGCAGCCGAACATGTTCGGACGCTCGGCCGAGCGGGAACCAAACGTGTTCGGCCAAGCACAAATCAGGGGGCTGCCGAACGTGTCCTCCTGTGTGTGGTGTGTGTGTGCGTGTGTGTGTGTGTATGTGTGTGTATATTTTCAGGAGTGATGAGCAATGCCCCCAGGGGCCCCCCAACCCCTATATATATTTAAAAAAAAACAAAAACAAAAATGAAAATGAAAATGTTCGGGCTCGGTCGATTTTGGGCCACGTTCGGGTCCGGTCACCTATGCAAAAAAAAAAAAAGCTACTACAGGTCCAGCACACCGCTTGGAGTCCCTATCTGCCTGCATGTCTGACATGTGTCTGTCTGTGAACTCAGGCGCTCAGAAGTGATCATGGCAGCAGCAAGGCTTGTCAATGATTTACCTTTCTTCAATTCCTTTTCTTTTTTCTTTTTTAACTTTCTTCATTTCACTTTTTTCCTTCTTTTTTCTTCCTTTTTTTGTTTGTTGAGGAAAGCAATGCCATCCGGAATGGACCTATCAGTGGAGGTGATAAGAGCATTCCCTACCAGTAATAGGACCCCACTAGAAGATGGCTCCAATCTATTGGTGGGAAGCTACACCAGCTGGAAACCGGGTCCAGCATCCCAATTGTAGAACAACAGCCATAATTGTTATAGATGATGAGCACCATTGATTACCCTCGTACTATGAGGGGATTGACTCGCCATGGTCTTAGAGACCCCGGTCAGGAGTTCATCTCCAAGCGTAAGTCGGCCGACCAGATGAGCGCGCAACTCTTCCCCGAGTCCCCGCCCCTGCCACTTGGCAAATCCTCAAGGTCACACGTAGACACCATAGCCAGACAAGAGAGTCATACTGCCAATCCCGCATTCCAGGACCACCCTCCCCCCCTGCCACTTGGCAAATCCTCAAGGTCACACGTAGCGAATCCAATCTACCAAAGATTTTTTGAAGTTCTGATCGAATGAAAAACAAACTAGGTCACATTGCCTCGCATCAAAGATCCTGATGAAGTCAAATGAAATGA